TGTCTTGCAGGTACACAGTGCGGCGTCCCGCATTGCTTCACCACGAACTGACAGCGTCTTCGTTGGGCAATGTCTGTCAGTTGTGCATTGCCCCCTGCACTTAAGCAAAACTCTTCGGGACAGAGTGTGACACAAACACACACACCTGCAACTCTGTCCTAGGATGGAGCCGTGCTGGCGGTCATTTGTGCTGTGGCTGCAGCCTTATGTGGAGAGTTGTCAGCTTAGTAGAAGCTTGCAGTGTCGAGCCTCAGGTTGTCACGTGCTTTGCTTTGCTGCTAATCTTTGTAGCTCGGCCTGACAGAGTCCACAAATACAGCAGAACCCATGGACATTCTTTCATATTTCTTCACAAAAAGTGGGCAAACAGTAAACGTATCATTTTAGGTTCTTGACAAATTGGCTGACATGGAGTTCACTGACAACGAAGTTGACAGCTCGCTGCGACCTCCTTAGTTTCAAGTGTTGATACAGAATGTTGCACCTTGCTTGTTTTCTCACATGTCTCAGGCGTGCTCTGATCTCTTCGTTGGGCATTCTCATTGGCTTTTCATGGGAGAGAAGCTTTGATGAAGCAGTCGGAGGCGCAAACCCATCATGCACTTGTCACTTTCCGTGCCGTATTGCCCCGAAACAACTTTGTTGGGAGCAGTGACGTGGGGCACGGCAGACCAGTGCTTAAGTGGAATAGCGTTTCACATCAATCATTATCAATCTGTATTTGGTTCTTGTCCAGACTTGTGCAGGTCTGGCTGAAGGGCGAGTCTTTGGCCTTCCGCCTCCTGTACTCACCTTGATCCTGGCCATCTTTCTGGCAAGCATGGCCTGCTGCCCAAAAAGGAGTTGAGCTTCGCTACCAATACACAATTCATAATTCATTAGGCTTTCATCTTGCTTTCGCGCGACAAACTTGGAAAGGTTGTGCCCGCGTGGAAATGGTACATTCTTCCCGTGGTAGAGTCGCACAAGGACGCAGGGTTCGGAACTGCTGTTGAGCCTCAGTTGCCAATGGTCGATTCCTTTGACAGTGTTTATACACATTACAGAGCATTTTGTGAACACACATTCGATTCCTACATGTTTCTGTCTAACGTGATCAGCCCTTCCAATGCTGTGTACTGTATAGAGTATTCTTTGCATGGTACTTGTACTTCAATCAATGACTACCTATCTAAACCTTCTCTTTCTTTATTGTTTGGTGTGTGTGTACACCTTGGAATCATAGGTCACCTCTTGGTGTTTTTTGCAGGGGCACACAGCATCCAGACCTACCGTGTGCAACGAAGCTAGGGTCGTGGAATGGAAGGTACCTGCCTTTTGTGAGTGTTGTAACCACCTCGCACTCGTAGAGGTTCTCAGGCTGTTGCAGGATGATTCAGGTCGGCAGATGTGAGCTTTCGTCGTCGATCTCGTCGCTTTTTCTGGAGCTTTACAACTTCAAGACTTAAGCCTTTGAGATTCACAAGTTCAGGGTATTGAAGGCTTTCATGCTCAGACCGCTTTGCATACATACTCACCCTGGTCCCTTACGTTTTTTTACTTAGGCTGGCGGGTGGCAAGCCGCAATCAGTTCTGTACACAATATCCCGAGTAGTGTGTCGTTGTGTAGCATTTATATGCATCAGGCTACTTATATAGATGGTTTCTATCATGACCTATCATGCGAAAAGCACAAGAGCTCTCTTGACATTGTGTTTGTAGGAGGAGAGCCGTGTGCATCATGTGCATCCCCATGAGGCTCTGGTGCGTGGTGTGTCCAAAGAATCAGTGACACGCACAGATTCGAATCTTAATTTTGATGTTGATGCTAATCTTCCTATTCTTTCTCTTCAACGGAGTTTCCTTTCAAGTCCCTTGGGTCTTGGCCGTCTAGAAGATGGTCCGGCATTTTGGTTATTCGGTTATCCTGGTGATGTGTTTCTGCAATATTTGTCAAAAACCTTGTTCATCTCTGAACTGATACGCTTGCGACGTTGTGACGAAGAAGAACGTTCTACAACTAAATCCTTTGCAGCTTTGCCGTTTTCCCTTCAGACCCAAATCTACTGTAGACCCATTGACCCGGATGATCTCAGTCTGGAAGAAATCTCCAAACATCTGGAGACTGTTCTAATGTCGCTTGAAACTAGGCTACGTAGCAAGTAGGATCAAACTTCAGAGATCGAATTCTGCAAGTGCTTCTGCTGTATTGATATGCTAAGACAAATCTCTCTTCTCAACTGTTGTTTGAACACCAACGTATAAGTTTCTTGTAAAGCACAATGTAAGTTGCCAACTCACTATCCGGGAAGCCAATGAGCAGTCTCTTGGTAGTCCAGTGCTGCATTCCCCTTCGATACGAGTGGTGCCGTACAAGCGCATGAGTGTCGGAATGCAGTGTCACGAGCATGAGAGGCGACCATCTCTGAAAACCACTTGCTGGAAACCTAGACAAAAGACTGCTGCCATGCGCGGCAAAAGCAGATTCCGAACTGCTTATGTATTATCGAAAGATGATCAAGTCTTTTCAGACTCAGGGAGAAGCCGCTTCTGAAGGACTGCCCAAGTTGAACAGTGAGAAGAAACCAGACATGCGGTTGCTATTGGCTATTAAATTTGGACCGACACGGAGGACTTTGCTCAAGATGGTGCTCACGCGCAATCTGAAACCAGGACCTCATGAGACACAACGTTGACGGGCCACATAGGACATAGGATGTCTACCAGATCACAAGAGGCAGCCTTACGGCAGGCAAACTCAACCACAGCCTGGAATCATGGATGACACAGCTCTGAAGCAACAGTTGGAGGCAGGCGCAATGAAGTCAGAAACAAAGCTAATTTCCATTGGGAAGCCATTTGAGGCTGCAAGACATTCCATCGCAGAGCTCGAAGAGCAGCTGGCAGGGAAGGATGGTGCGCTAACAGAGGCCCAGCGCTTTCAACTACCCTTTGACCCTTTGCAGAAGTTTTGACCTTACCTCTGAGGGGTTCTTACTCCTTTGAAAGGTTTCTTGCCCGGGCCGCGTGATTTTACATTTGTCTCGAGTCTCCGGGCTTGCGTTCCTGCCACACTGCGATTGCTTTGGCCACATGATGTTACAGTTGTCTCCCAGTACACTTGGCTCCCACTTGTCTCGCTTATCTCTGGGTACACTCTGGGTGCTCTGGGCCGCATGAATTTACACTTGTCTCCCACGGCCGCATGATTTTACATTTGTCTCCGGGCTTGCGTTCCTGCCGCACTGCGATTGCTTTGGCCACATGATGTTGCAGCTGTCTCCCAGTGCACTTGTCTCCCACTTGTCTTGCTTGGGGCCGCATGAGTGTGCCTCGGCTGATGATGTTTCCTCTGCCTACTCTGGATACACTTGGCCGGATGTTTTTACACCCTGTCTCCACTTGTCTCCCTCCTTGTCTCCCTTCTTGCTTCACTTGTCTCCACTTGTCTCCACTTGTCTCGGCCTACTCTGGATACGCTTGGCCGGGTGATTTTACACTTGTCTCCCACTTGTCTCCACTTGTCCCCCTGCTTGTCTCCCTTGTTGCTTCACTTGTCTCCCTTCTTGTCTAACCTCACAAGTTCATGGTAGGTTGAAGGCGTTTAACATCTTTTAGCCAAACAAAGTATGATACAGCCACATGTCAGTGCAACTCAGCATATTCAGTAGATTTACGTATGGTCTGTTTTCGTCTGAATTGCCAGTTCTGATCTTGAGCCAATTGAGCCAAGTGCTGAAAGAAACCCAGAAGGTCCGAGTTGATCACCGCGAGCTGGAACGGTTTGATCCGTTAACGTTTTGACCGTTCGTCTCTGGCTTACTTCAAAAAAAGCACAAACTGCCAGTAAAATCTGTCCATTCTAAGTTGGGAGGTGTTTTGAGTCGAAGTGAACTTCCTGTTCTGGAAAGTTCAAAAGCCTTTCAGGCCAAGCAGCGCACTACCGAGCTGGAGTTGGCGCTTCAAAGTGTAGGAGAACACCTGACCCACTTGCTCACTTGCGCTGGAACTTTAATATCACACTTCAACATTTGATCTCGTGCTTCTAGTGCAGGAGTCCGAGAAGATCCAAGCGAACAACACCACAAAGAGATGCACGATCCTCCACAGCACTCAGACTTTTGGCGTTAAGTCGCAAGATTGTTTGCTTCTGGGCTGTGTTGTGTCAAGAAAGACCCTTTTGCGACCAAGGAGAAAGACAACCAGTTGCAAGAGTGGCGGGCAAGGGCGGGCGAGCTTGCAATGAAAGTCCAAACTGCAGAGGTCTGAAACATCAGTGTACTTCTACGTTGCTCGGAATATGCGAAGATTGAAGAGTTAGTTGTTGATAAGAGCGGTTGCTTCACTTGAACACATGAGTTCTCAAAATTATTTGTGCACCTTGTGTCTTCACTCCGTGTGGAATTTCCGCTATCTACCTGTTTACTACGTCGTACGGTGTGTGAACGAGGTTCTTTATTCCACTAGTGCCACAGAACTCTATTAACAGGCAGTGAATTTCAACCAATGTCATGCATGAGTCTACCTTTGTATTGGTAACACTCCTGCACTTTCCAGGGTAATTATAGATTTATTAAAGATCATTCACGAATTCAACAACAGTTTGAAACATGCCGGCTTAACGATTGAATAAAGCACGCCATGGCGATGTTGTCTTGTTCTTCAATGCATGCTAGCATCTGCATCTGTGACATTCTTGATTGTGATATTCACTTTGTCTCTCAAAAGCTGGGCAGCCTTATGGTGCCAGAGCGGACTTTGTCATTTTCCGCATTGTCGCATTGTCGTTCAAACTTGGTCCTTCTATCCTGCTGCAGCAAGGCAGTATCATGAGATGCTTGCAAGATGCATTTTGGCAGGACTCTGCCAGAGGGTCCTTAGCAGAATCAGAACAACTCAGAAGAGAACAAGGCCGACTAATCCTGTGCAAGTCTCAACCTGAAAAACCCCATGTGCAGTGTGCATGTAGGCCTTCAAGCAGAAGCGCTCCAGAACGCGAAGGCCACGATCATGGATGGGACTTGCTTTTGGTTGGATACTCTTGTGAACAACTTATCAATAAAGCGGTTGTGATACTTTTCTGATTTCAAGATACGCTTGTGACGTTCTCAAAGGACCCTAGGGTCGATCGATTCTGAAATCCGGTATTGAACCACCCACGGAAGCCATGTGCCGCTGAAGCTATGTGCGAGTGCTGCTGCAATTCGCTGGGGTTTTGCTGTACTTGCCTCTATGGCATCGGGCGCAGCATTCCATTGATCTCGATCCTATCTTTCATGCTTTTCCTCTTGGGGTATTCTTTGGCAATCCACGGCAGAACAAAGACCAACCAGCCCCTAGAGGCCATTGGTGTGACAGACCTGACAGCACTGTTGCACGATCTTGAAGTTGTCTTCTTTTTTGCTTTGGTGCCCTAGCAAAATTGGGAGTTGTTCATTGTCTCAGTCTCAAGTGTTCTTGTTTTGGTCAAGTTTTGCCCAGCAAAAGCGCTCTCATATTGACATTCTTTTCAGGTCTTCAATGGACTTGGCCTTGCAGCTTCCTTTTTGGCCAGTGGAAAGACACGAGAACTCCTTTTCCAAAAAGCGGACTACTGCTGCACCTCATGCTTTCAATTCATACTTGGACGCTGCACTTTGGGATTCATCATGACAGCCTGCTTGATTATTTTGGTGGTTGATACTTGGTTTGCAAGAAGTCACTTGTCCGAAGGGCAAATGTAGCACAACATACTGTCATAGGTTAAGCACAATGCTGAGTGATCTTGTAGATAGATGAATCTTTGTTGATTGCAAGGACATTGTGATGCTCAGCCTCGTTGCGAGTGCCTCAACGCTTGTCCTGGAAGTCTTGGGAGCATGTTCCCAGGCTGATTTGTTGAAGTCGCCGGTCTCTATGACGCTTCAGCTGGTCACTGGTGTCACATTACCACTGGAGCAGTTTGATGCGATTTGCAGGCCTGAATCGCGGGCCGGATATGGATATGGTCATGAGTCATACTTATATATAGTGATAGACTACGACTGATACTCGGAACATCCTTCAAGTGCTCATCCTCAAGCTGCAGCTGCTAAAGCATAGTGTTGGAGATGGAATGGAACAATCCCTGAGGTTATCCCCAAGATCTCGCGCTGACAACCCACATTTTTCTTTTAATTTCTCTAGAGCACTTCTGATGCATTGCAATCAATCTTTCAATCTCGTGCGGAGGACATGTGACATGTGCTTGCCTCCATGCCTGCATGAGTGATAGGTCAGATTTGGGTTCCGGGTTCAGCACCCTGATTGCGGGCACCATTCTCATTGTCATCGGACAAGTCCTCATCATGGTGACTTTATCGCTCTCCAGCTGCAAAACATTTTTTGATTCCCAAATGTTCTTGATGATAGTGTATTATTGTGTATATTATTGTTGTGTTTTCATTCGTTTACTGAGGTCCAACTACACAAAGATCCTTTTGGAGTGCTGTCCTTAGGACCCGCCCCAGGATGTGAGAACTTCAAGACATGTGACAAGGGCGGTGAAAGGCAAATTGTTTCACGTATCCGTCCGAGGCCCTATTTGGCACCTCGAGAGAAATGGTCAACAGACTATGGATCAGCAAGCGACGCAGCAGCATAGTGGTGAGTTGCCCTTTTTTGAGCTACAAAGCACGACGCTGAATCAATCTTGGCTGGAAAAAGCATCCCATTGCAGCGCTCAATGATCGTGGGGAGGCACTTTGTCATGCCTTTCTGGAGACATGAATGCTGCGTTGTGACTTTGACCCTCAAAGCTGATATATACAACTTCTTCAAGTGGACCCGTGACATTTGGTGACCAGATGTTGTTCATTTTGGCCAAGAATGTGCAGTGCTTGCTAGAAGTGCTCTTTTCCCTGGGAAAGCTTTTGAGATTTGTCAGTGTTGGCATCTGACTCTAACTAGACAATCATTTGCGGGCTTAGAGGCTCAGCTGAAATATCGAGTGATATTAAATTCAATTTGTGGAATGCCGTACCCCACGATTTGGGCACCAAATTATGGGCTTGGCTTGGCGCGGCAATGCTCTTGTGGGTTCTCAGAGGCGTTGCAAGTTTGGAGGCCGAAGCAGCAGATCTTCATCACAAAGTGCAAATGCTGCAAGAAGAGCTGGTGAAGGTCCATGTCACTTTTTGCGCTCTTTGCGGTGTCTCAACATACTATATACTGTAAGTGAATCTCAAAACAGCAAAAAAAGGGTAAGACCACTCTTTTCATGCTTTCAAAATGCTTGGCTTTGCAGCCACTCGGCAATCAAGAGTCGATTGCTTCAGTGTGGGAGTGCTTCAGGCTGATGCAGCGAAGCAGGTCCTCGCCCAAGATGCAAGAAGGCACAAGAAGCGCTTCAAGCTTCAAGGACAAGTCAAACCAAAAATTTTTAATACAGAATCGGTTTAAAGCACCAGAGGGAAGTCCAAATCTTCGTCCTTTTCAGGTCCTTCTCGAAAGTGAATGGTTGGGTAAGCTGAGGCCTTCAGCAGCCAATGGGAGGAGAAACTTCATGATGAGGCCGTTTGGCTGTCTAGGTAAAGCCAACAGCTCCATGGACTCCGTGGAAAGAGTTTGGGTTGTGTTTGTGACAGGTGGGTCGACGGGTGATGGTAGAGGAGCGATTGCGAGAGCGCAGTTCACAGCTCTCCGAACTTCAGGCAGTGTCAGTGACTAGGAATTTGATAGAATTAGCAACATCCTACAAAATATACGAACATTAATGAATATACTGTACCTGATGTATAATGTTTAGTTTACTAGCTTACCCATTGGTATATCACGAAAGCCAGCCCACAGGCTAGGCTGCAGTGTTGGGGAGCGAACGAAGTGAGTAAAGGGGGGGAGAGCAAAAAAGAGTGGTGGCCCGGAGGTAATGAAAATGACTTGTTTTTGGGTTGTGATGCAAGTGATGTAATTGACGGCGAGTAGTGCATGATTAGCATGAATCATGAGGGGCCCAGGAGGCAATGCAAACCGTCTTGTACCAGGGGTGCAAGTTCATGTCGATGAGAGGGACGCGAAAAAGTGGTTGGAGCTCAAAAGGGAGATGTTCGTTTTTAGTGGGCCTGTGATTGAATCAGTTCCTTCCCCGCAGACGCGTGGCACTGGGCTGGAGGTCATTGTGACAGGCATGGCTCAAGGTCAAAAAAGGGCCGGCTGGTGGTATCAACCCACTTGCAACAAAGACCGACACACCACACCAAACCTTCCCAGCACTCCAGGGGTGCCCTTTTTCACCTCCACAACAAGCCGACATCAAGACGAAAAAGGGCACCTCCCCCGAAACCTATTATTCTACCTTTTGTTTCTACCCCCGATTGGGTGGCTGCGATGCCAACTTCATCCCATAAAAGTCTTCTTTGCCCGATGTTAGCCCATCACTTCATCTTCCACGCTGAAGTGGCTGCAATATCAACTTCACCACTTCCGGCTACTCTCTGTCCATTCTATACATATATGTATCCTCGCCAAAGCCTGCCCATAGCCTCGCCCATGGCCCCCCACAACCATCTTTGCTCACTGATTAGCAACACGCAGCAGGCAAACGCATATAATTAATATACCTGAGGGGTGCTCTTTTTCACCTCCAAAGTCCAAAGCGCCTGACCCCCTATCGGGCGGCTGCGATGCCAACTTCACCCCATAAAAGTCCTCTTTGCCCGATGTTAGCCAATCACTTCATCTTCCACGCTCAAGTGGCTGCAATATCAGCTTCACCACTTCCGGCTCCACTCTACCTATATACATATATGTATCCTCACCAAAGGGCCCCCCACAGCCATCTGTGCTCACTGATTAGCAACACGCCGCAGGCAAGCGCCGTTAATTTTTTAAGCAGTGCACCCTTTTTGAAAAAGGGCACCCCCCCAAACCTACTTTCTGTTTCTACCCCCTATCAGGGTGACTGCGATGTCAACTTCACCCCATACAAGTACTCTTCGCCCGATGGTCGCCAATCACTTCATCTTGCGCGCTCAAGTGGCTGCAATATCAACTTCACCACTTCCAGCTACATCTTTGCTCACTGATTCGCAACACACACGACGCAAGCGCCCCTCACTTCTTTAAGGGCGCACTTTTTTCACCTCCAAAACGCCCTGAACCCCCCCAAACGAAAGTATTTACACCCTGCGGGTTGTTCCGCCGGCCTTTTCAGCCAATGGCCCCAAGGTGCGGATTACCTTTTGCGTCAAGAGGAAAGACTGCAACAGAGCAGAAAAAGTAACAGCATCATCCAGAACAGCTGGAGCAACAGAGGAGCCTACATGAAATGAAGTGCATTATGATACAATAAGAGAACAGGGAGATGAAATTGGGGGATGCAAAGTATAGCCTGCCAAGCAAGAAGACAAATTATATGACATGTGACACAATGAGCGAAGTAGACCGTGCGAAGCAGCAAACGTACATAGCATTCCGTCAGACATGATACAAGAGAGTAATGAGGACATGTGTGGCATGGGATTTCCAAGCAGTCTGAGTCTGCAAAAAACGATAGATACGTGAGTGCAGGTGCAAAACCGGAGAAAAACGCATGCAAAGCAGAAGCGCAATGCATGGACAACGACAAGAGAAGAACGACGATAAGAAGGAAACGCACACAACCTTTCACTTTAGCTAAGATATATGTGAGCTACATACATTCGGGATGTTCTTGGGGGGAGGGGGGGTCAAGTTAGACGAGGCAAAAACTTGCTCCAGAGACGCTTTTCCGATTACATATAGATTCAACATAAGCTACATACAAGCCACATTGATAAAACACGCTAGCGCCCAAGGGCCGGCGGATTCTACTTCTGTTTCTAGCCCCTATCGGGGTGGCTGCGATGTCAACTTCACCCCATACAAGTACTCTTCGCCCGATGTTCGCCAATCACTTCATCTTGCACGCTCAAGTGGCTGCAGTCCATCTACAGGGCCTCAATAACAAACAGCGAGCAAACGCAAGCCCTGGGGCACCCCCTAACCCAGAGGCTGGCTTTTGTGCCCTCCCTGCTCAGGTAGTGTATTATAGTGCGGTTTTTCCTCAAGTTGAACGTTATTTTGAGTAGTTTAGCGTGTCTTCCTGTAGTCCACTCGATGCGCAAAATACAGGCAGAAAAGAACGCAGAGCTTGACAGAATGGCCGCTGTTGCAACTGACACTGAATGCCGTTTGAGGAGCGAGACCTTGAGTTTTTGTAATGAGCACAGGGCATCGCTATTAAGGGGCTCCTGGCCTTTTTGCTAGGAGCAAAGGACGCTACTAGGGGCTCCAGGCCTTGCTACTAGGAACAAAGGGCATCGCCTACTAGGATAATATTTAACCTTAAGTGATCTGCCCTGCAGGCAGGCACAAGCAACTTTGGCTGAGCAAGAGCAGGCTGTTCGAAGATGCAAACATACGCAAACTGAGAGATTTAGCGTTACAACTTTAAATTTTAATCGCTGACACATCTTCGAGGCAACTTCTAGAGCCGCCAATGACACCTTGAAGGATTTTCAATCAGTGGTGATCTATATAATTAGTTAGAATTGAAGAATCTGAGAGAGAGGAGAGAGAGAGAGACACTGCGTGTGTGCGCACTAGCTGCAGGATGAGCTTGCGAGAACAGCTGACAAAGTACCCCTCCAAGTTGACAACGTTGCTAGGGCAGTCCAGGTCTTGCTTGCGGTTCTGACATCTTCTGTGCAATCCTGCTTTTTGATCTATTGCACCTTTCGGCTTTCTTCAACTTATACATGGTTGCTCATATGTTTTCCTTTGCTACAAGGCCAACGCACTGGCCAACCAGCTGGCATCTGTGGAGAAGGAGAATCAAGTTCTCCTTGCGGAGGCACCAGAGTCCAGAGAGGTTTGCAAACAAGAAAAGAGAGTTAGAGCAACTCTTTTCCAGATCCGAGATGGGCTCATGTGCGCTTTGAATTCAAAGAACATTCTTTACCAAGCTTTTGCTCCAATTCGATTCAAATCACTAAATCACTGAGGTGAACCGCCTTCGTGGCGAAAACAAGCCTTCCTTCGTGCCTAGAGCTGTGAGGCAAGCATGTCACAGCTGTTCAGCTTAGCGAGCTTAGTTGCCCCTGTCAGCTGTCTCAGCTTTCACAAGAAGTGTCAAGGGGCACCTCGACGCCGCAGCCTGGTGCAGCAGGACGGCAGCTGAAAGATTCAGAGCAGGTAACGGCAGTTTGTTGTCCAAAGGCCAATTTCTTGAGCGGCTCCACATAATTCTAGCCTGGACATTTGTGTTTGTTTCCTTTCTCGTGAACGTGTCTCTTGCGAGTTAGCTAGACAAAGCTTGATTAGGAGCACGGTCCATGCCATCTCCACAGGAGATGGGAGAAGTTTGTGTGCAGGGCCTTTATTGACCAAACAATTGAAAGCAAAGTTATTCTACTGCTTGGTCATTCTTGAATGTGTTTTTTTGGGTCAAGACTAGACAGGCAGAGCATGCATTTAAGTTCAGACACGTCATACAGAGAGGTGCCTGATCAAGGAAGTTCGCCGAATACCGACACACACACACACAAGCACATTTAGGAAGACACTTGATCAAACCTCAGCTGTTGGTTTACCTTTTGGCCACGTCCTGTGCATTCACCATGCCAACAGTTGAGGCTGGTAACGGCCAAACTTGACGTACTTTTCAAGCTTGCTCGTTTTACTTGTGCAGGTCATTGTCAAGAAAAACACGACCTCGATGGCATTTGACGGTGACGCGAAACTTGGGGATCTTATGAAGAAGCTGAGCACAGAACAGGGCATCGAAATTGCAAAGTGACTTCGTCCTATGGAGTGACCGTGTCGTTTGTTGCACAGTTGCACATTGCACCTTTAATATCCTTTAATACCACTGTTTTTGAGGCAGGTCCTGTTGTACAAGTGCAAGGAGTTTCGCATGCCAGCCTATGAAAAAGGCCGGAGTGTTGTTCCCACCGGAATCGGCCTCACGACCACATTAGTTCACAGATGCTCACCATGGCTTTCCAGTGCTTAGACCTGAATGCCCAGAAGCTAGAAGATTTGTGCGAAGAAACAGTGCATGTTTGTACATTGTATAAAGGTGCGCTCCTGGAGCTGCTCCTGATTATATATATATATTTTTTGTTCCTTCCCTATGATAGACTTAGAGCGGGAATTTACCAGGAAAATTGGTCATCTATGATGGGCAGCAGCGGGTGGTTACAGAGGACGTTGGTGTTTTGGAGTTCCGAGTGAGTGCGCACAGTGAGTGCAATACATGAACAAGGACCAGCGGCTGACTGACCTCAAGATCGATGGGGCTGAACCATTGGTATGCGGGGAGCTACAGGACTGGCCTCTCAGTTATGTTACAGTCATACTACACTTTCTGCACTTTGAGCTGTGATAAGTGATGACAGGATGAGTGGTTGGAGGAAGTCAAATGGGGAGCCTTTGGACAGACCCTCTACGAGGCAACGCAGGAAATCAGGGCCTTTGCTAGGGGGAGCTCTTTGGCATGAGTTGTGAGCCCTGCCCTCCACCCCATTCCACCCCCTTCCAATGGCTCATTCTGCAGCTGGAGACCCTGACACTGGAGTCTTGGGCTTGCTGAGAGCAATGGACAATCATAAAGACCTCGCCAAGGCAATAGGCAGTGAGGAGAGGCTACAGAGTACAAATCTCCGTACTCGCTGATGGCAACGAAGCTCCAAATCTGGTTGTTTGTGTGCCACCTTAGAATCCTTCAAGGAGTCAAGGAGAGGAACTTACTTCCATTTTTCCCCTGAAACAGCAAGACCCACAAAGCACAAGCCTCCCCAACTCTTTGCCCATGCCCAATCATGGCTTTTGTTTGTTGTGCTTTTGTGCGAGTTTGGCAAAGGGTGTGCACTGGAGAAGCACTTTGCAGGCAGACTATATGAACCATCGAGAATTTGTGATTTTCAATGGCAAGTAGTCCTGAGAGTCTAGGCCATCCAAGCACTTAGTCAGCTAGTGGACAAAGTCTTCCATGCGCTTTGGGAAGTGGAAAAGCAGAGCCCACGCATGGCAAGATTTGGTGAGGCAGAGAAAGCACAGTTGGCAGACAGGTCAGTGTGCACACCGAAGGTTTCAGTGTACTGTGATCAAGATGATCAAAGTATGTTCTGCTACAAGCTGCAGGACACAAGTTCACCACCCCAAAGTAGCCAGGCCATGATTCTGCTGTCGATTGACATTTCACTTTTCAGATACGGCAAATTGTAAAGCAGCTAGGCAAGCTAGGTAAAGTAGCCAGTAAGCAAGAGAAGCTGCTTCGGTAGAACGAAGATGCTACCGTTTCGCAAGTGTCAGACTCCGTCGCTTGTTCGAAACGGCTCCGAGATTTTGGAAAAAAGGGACACACGATTCGATGGATTCAATGACCTGTTAGCAGACTTTGAGCACCGGTCAATAGTATTTTGACAAATGTATCAAACCATATTTCTTTGTTAATGTGAATCAGATTTCCTTTTTCTGTCCAAAAGGATATGAGCTCCCATCACCCTCCATGTACCTCAGGCCTCACTGCCAGGACAGACCTTCCAGCTCCTCCCTGAGCAAACGCACCAAGCAAACAAAACACCCACGTGAAGAATTCACGTTTGATGTTGCTTCATGTGTCAAAAAAGTTGCATTACTAGTGCACTAAGCATGGAGGCTTCCACCCTTCAACAGCATGCTTTTACATTGATTGAGGCCCGCTGCCTTTGCATCTCCATCCTTGAGAGCAGCTCCGTACAGCTCCGATGTATTGGAGCCATACATTCTTTTGAATTCTTGTTTCTAATAGCAAACATTGTTACTAGTAGTATGGCCAGGAGCCCCTAATAGCGTCCTTGCTCCTAGTAACTAGTAGCGATGCCAGGAGCCCCTACTGTAATAGCGTCCTTGTTCCACATACATGTACAGACATTATACAGGAATGCTACGATAGATGTGTGCCCTACATGTGCTACACCAATCACTTGTGAAGCCTGATGGACGAGGTCTGGAGCAGGTCTGAGTATGAAGCCTGTGCAAACCACGAGCAGGCTCTGCTACCAGTGGCTTTCTTGATCTTTTTTGGGGAGATTACTGATGACTCGCAACCCTTTGATGGACTTTTCAACAGTGCCCCATCCTTCAACAGCCATGAACAGCATGGACTTTTGAAATGGATCTTATAGACAGACACCTGCAGAGCTACCACGAGAGGCTTGGCATTTGGCGGCAAGCAACCCCTTAAGCCTTAAGCTCCAGGTCTGCAGTCCCAGGAGTCGTATCTGAACGCCCTGACCGCCGATTGCTCAGCAAGGGGTGATCGCATTTCTCGAACATTTCTCATTCGTCCGATCTGCTTAATCAAAATGCAGCCTAGGCAAAACAGTTCAGAATCCTCGATCACCTCCGTCACCTGCCCAACCAAAAAGGTGGGGCTTTTTGAGCCCTTTGGCTTGCCTACTTATCTTAGTAACTTGAGTGTCTTCAAAATTCTTCAAATGTCTTCAAGCTTCCTTCTTGTATTGTCTTCCAGACTTGTTGCTCAGATCTCCAGGACGGCCATTCCAAAGCAAACACCGGGAGCTCGAGTTCTAGGTGGTTTGACGCGAACTTGGGAGTCTCAAATGCTGCTCATTGGGAGGTGATCGGCCGCGGCCAGTGCGACCAAGCGTTCCTGCTCGCGTTCCTGGAGACAGCCCAAAACGAGGCAGGCATCATGCTCGTTCACATGCCTTTCAGTTTGGCATGTGGGGAGCCCCACTTTCATGGACCTCTTCAAGCGCAGCTACTAGTAACAAGTGCATCGCTTCTAGTAACAAGTGCCTTACTAGTAGTAACAAGGACGCTAGTAGTTACAAGAAGCTACTAGACTTTCATGGTTTTCTCCAACAAGTTGAGGGAAAGACATGCATGGACCTCTCTCAGCCATGAATTGGTTGGCTGACTTGGCATTGTCATCGATGCTTGTGTGTATGCATTGGAATACATCGGGCTAGTGAGTATTCTGTATGACGTTCTTCCACTCAAGCATAGCTTGCGTTTTGTGGCATGTTGGAGCATAAGCAGATCTACCTTGCTTGATGTGGAGAGAAACGCCCTTAGACTAGCAGTAGAATCGAGTGGTTGGACCAAAGCTAGCTGCAGACTGGGCAGCTGGCCGGCAATGTGCATCATTTAATTAATCATCCATGAGTCCTTCTGAAAGAACGAATACATATATATATATATATCCATCTTTACTAAAAAGATAAGGTCTATGAGTCCTCATTGGGTTGAGCGGTGCACGTAAGGTTTTCCTAACAAAGATCATGTTGTAGTTTCATTGCGTGCACTGCAGTTCAACCCCCTGCTTCCAGCATGTTGGTGTTTCAGATTCGTACTTGTTGTTGCAACGACTCTTCTCAAGCAGTTTCCCTACTTTTGTATTCCTGCAGTGTGTTTGTACGATGAATACCATCCGCATTGTTGATTGGATGGCCTTGCGCAGGACTGCCGCAATAGTATTCACCTGTCGGGTTGGCCTGGTGCTTCGCGATTGGTTTTTCATAATTTTCGCGGACCCGACCCAAAGTGGGCGGAGAATAACTCGCTTGCTGCGCAGTGACGAATTGCATTGCCACACCTTTGGCAGACGGACAGATTGGGGCTTGATTGCAACACCCATCATTGAATTTGAAGACGAAACGTGCCTCTTCCCACCAACATTTGTGGCTCAGTCATACGCTGTTTCACGCGTTCTATGTCCTTCATCACCTTGGAGGGCGCTACTAGTCAGGTGCCGTCCTTGATTCAAAGGATGCTTTTCGACAATTTACTCGATGAACATGACGAAGCCAAAGCACCAAAACGAAGGCCAGGAATTTGAAATTGAGTTACAAGCCTGCCTCAAGGTAATGTACCTTACACGCCATCCGTAGACCTTCAAGCTGAGTTTTGCCACTTGGCGCCTAAGAGAGGTTCACCGCCCATGTTGATCGCTTCATTGTTTTTTGTGTTTGCCACCCCAGATTTGCTCTGCAGCATTCAGGCCCAAAAAGACGGGATCGGATAAACCATGTGTTCAAAGAACCACTAGCTGCACATCTCTCTGCAGATCTCAGATTCCATTGAAACCATGGCTTAAACGCACCTTTTGAACATGTGCTGGCGTTTCTGCCAATTTGTCCTGTGCTCAGCAAGACCCCGCAATAGGGGGAAGATAAAGGCAGTTTCAGGTGTTGACGGAGGATCTCAATGGGTTGAATGTGGGCGAACAAGACGCTTCGTTGATCTACGGTATCCAAGTGTTTTTTGTTTTGGCTCAGGTCCAAGATCAATGAAGGAGTGACAATGCTCAAGTCTTGTCAGAACTTCGGAGACGATTCACCATGTGTGGGTTCCCTTGGCCAGGAGGAATGGTCGACACTCTACCGGGCACCACAGATGCATGCAGAGAGTGGTGCCTGGCTTGAGGTGTCTTGCATGATAGAGTTCTTGCAAGTATTGTGTGAGTGCAAAGCATGTTGTGGCTTGTATTGGACAAAACCTACACGGCTTGGAAACACACCCTGGTTGTTGGCTTAACTGGCAATTCATGTCTATGTCCTGCAAGGCTAAACCACTTTCAGAAAAGAACATGATCACCATACTGTAGCTGTAGGACCAATCGCCAAGACTACTGACTACTCTTTGCACATTGCCCAGGGCTTTTCAAAACGAGATGCGCAGGTGTGATGCCCAGCCGAATTGTACAAACACGTGTAGACACAATTATATTAATGCGTTGGACTTTTGAGAAAGGCAATCCTCATAGCACTTCCGTGGACAGTGCTCCTGTCATCGCTGACCTGCTTCATGGTGCTTTATGCCTTGGAGGCTATGGTTTTGCGGCTTCATGTTTTCGCCTAATATTGCCAATCCTGTGGCCACATGATCGACTTGTCACAGGCTGGATTGCATTTATTCCTGGTTGTGTTTGAACGGGCTTCGAGCTGAGATACTATAAAGGGTGTCATTTCGTTTGCGTAAAGCAGTTTAGGCCTCTAGGCCCTTCACTACCTTCAGGTTGTGAACGCATCACATTACCTAATAGCTCTGGGATGTGCCCTCTATGTGCCTGTGTCTTGGCAGCATGTCGTCTATGGACTTGGAAGAGTTGCTGCACTTGAACACCATTTGGAATTGGAATTAGGTGGCTCTTCTTGTGGAGAGACCGAGCTCATGTTGTCGCAGTGGTCCGCGCAGATCCAAGGAGGCAACTGACACGGATCTCCCCAAATAGGGATACTGTATGTTTGTTTTCAAAGAGCATACCATCATTCATGTCTTCTAATGAATGTGCGCTTTCATTGTACATTCAAAGTGACAGACTCCTGTTCATTGCATTCCTGCAGGGATGGATCGCGATTGGTGCGGTAGCAGCTTGTGCAGTCATTGCTCTGTGCTACGCAAACAGCGTGCACAGCCTTCCAGACAGAAAGCTCTGGAGCCTGTACTGTATGAACTCTGCACAGGTTTTGCTTCCTTTTCTTCCTGGACAAGTTAAGCCTTGCTTGAAGAGACTTCTATCAGAATCCTAATGTTGAGTGACATTGCAGGATCTCTTTCATCCATGGATCCTTCGCATTTCGAGCAGCTACAACTGGGGAATTCCTTCTGCAGATTGCATGGCTCTGGTCGGCTGCAGGACGGGTTTCAAGCAGTTTGTTTGAGTTCCTTGGACGTTTAAAGCGCGTCAAAAATGGCTTTAGCATGTCCATGGGACCAGCTTGTGGTTTTGTTACTTGAACCTTTCAGCATACCGTATGCCTGTCGAATGCCTCGGAGTGTTCTCGCAAAACCAACAGGCTTGCGGTGTGAAAAAGGCCAGTCAGTGCCAAGCTGGCGTCGCGAGAGTCTTAGACGTCGCGAGAGCCTCTTGCTTCCTACTAGCTTCTTGTTACTACTAGTAAGGCCAGGAGCCCCTAGTAGCTTCTTGTTACTAGTAGTAAGGCACTTGTTTCTAGTAGCGATGCACGTGTTCCTAATAGCTTATTGTTTCTACTAGCTTCTTGTTACTCCTAGTAAGGCCAGGAGCCCCTAGTAGCTTCTTGTTACTAGTAGTAAGGCACTTGTTACTAGTATCGATGCACTTGTTCCTAATAGCTTATTGTTTCTACTAGCTTCTTGTTACTACTAGTAAGGCCAGGAGCCCCTAGTAGCTTCT